TAGCATAGAGACCCTCCTGGTGATCCAGATCTCAATGCTCCCCATTCCCTTGTTAGAAAGGCTCTTTTGGGAGTTCTTCCTTGAACCCCCACTTTCCTCCCCTCCAGAGTAAAAGAATGTGTTTTGGAACCTTCCCCCCAGGAGCCCTGGGGGTCTCCCCATGTGTGCATGTGTGTGGGGGAGGGTGGGTGTGGCCATTCTCAGGACTTGGCATCTGACTCTGATAGACAAGGAGCTGTGGCCGTTTCGGTTGTGCAGGAGGATACGCCTGCTTCTCTCCTCACTCCATAAGCATCCCCCTTACCAACGTAGCTCCCAGGGCCCAGCACTGAGCAAACCGGGGTGGCAAGGCTCCTCGAACTGGAACCACCGCCTGCTGCCAGCCAGAGCTTCAGCACTCGCTCTGACCACACCCCGGCAGCTGTTGTCCCCGGGCATCTCCTGGCCGCAGTGCCCAAGGTCGCACAGCTGGCCGCCCCGTCCTTGCTGGCTGGCAGGGTGTCCCACTTACTTCCTTTTTGCAAGGAAAGCTGCAGGCTGAGAGACTGATGGGCAGAACAAGGCTTGGATTCACACATGTGAAAATGAAGACCCTTTCCCTACCCCCTGCCACATACACACACACAAAGGCCTCCCTGGGACACGGACTGATTCCGGGTCAGAGCCAGGGAGAACCCTGGGTCCTAAAGACACTGTGGCAAGCCTCAAATCCCTGTGGAAGGCCTGTAAGGGACAGATGGATGCTGCCGACCTCTGGGGCCCATGATGCCAACGCCACGATGGGAGGGCGCTGGTCAGAGCCTGGGGGTGAGTGTGTGAGTGTGAGTGTGTGTGTGTGTGTGTGTGAGGGGTGGCACAGACCTGCAGGGACAGCCCCAGGACATCTGCCACTCAATTTCCCAGGGGGAATGTGGGGTGGGGGGGGGGCCCAGTCCATATCCATCACCAGCACAGCAGGAAACTGCAGCCGTGGGAGAGGACCATTCAGGGAGATGCTCAGACGCTGGAGAGGAAATGAATCCCAAAGGATTCACTCCCTGTTTCCTAAAGTCCACACTGTGTCTGATTCACAGCTGTCTATACTGCAGTACGCAGCCCACTGGAGTCACACAGGTGGCGCTGAGGAAGTCACAAAGCTCTGACAGGGAAGAGGAGAAACTCGGGCCATGAATGGACTCGGGATGAGGAGTACGGCCTCCAGACCATGCGGAGTTTCAGGGAGCTCAAGTGGAATCTGATCCCTAGAATGGAGAGATGTGGTGTGCAGCAGAGACACTGGGCTGGCGAGGATGGGCTGGTTGGAATCTCCCTACTGAGGATGGCCCAGATATGCACGGGTTAACACGGTTTCCTGCTGGGGACCAGAGCATGGCCCAGTCATGTTTTGTCCAGCAGGGGGCAGGGGCTGAAGCAGAACAAGTGGAAGAGCTGTCCGCCCCTCACCCCCCCATTCTAGCCTCTATCCTCCCTCCACCCCACACTCCGGTCAGGACATGTTTGTGACAAGCAGCCAGTGGAAAGCAGCCGGAAGCAGGCAAGTATGAGGCCTCTCCGCCAGGATTTGACCATCTGTTTTCAACCCCCATTCTGACCTTGTCAGTTACTAGGATGGACACAGGACTTGTCCACCCCCTCCCCTTTTCTTCCCCCCCTCCCCGATGTGTATCTCCCTGGTCATCCCAAGGATCAACTCAGGGTCTACATGGCTTAGGGTGGGGATTCACAGAAGACTCTCCTCCAAGGCTACAATATGTCCAGACAGACTCTGTACACAGCAAAATCGGAGCCCCGGGGCTGCTTCTTTGCAGGGAAGAGAGCTCCGGATTCTGGGGCTGCCTTGGGCCCAGAGCATCTCTGAAAGGTTGGGGCTACCTGTCCCTGGATTTTGGATTTTGGAATTCCCACCTCCTTCCCCCTCGGCATCCCCAGGCTCCTGCATCACAGGGGAAATGCCTGGTGGTGGGAAGCTACAGCATTATCTTTTCTCTGCCCCCAAACCAGCTTTCTCTGGCCCCTGCCTTTACAACAGAATTGTGGGCAGGAAAGAAAGACACCCTCCACCCCTACTTTGGAGCCTGAAGGGCCTACGGGCAGGGGATCTTCTCAAGCTTCCCCCTGCATAGTGCTATCTTCTTTCCCCTAGGGATTCCCAGGGATCCAGGGGGACCCCTGGGATTCAGTCCCCATCTCCCCATGTCCCACTGGCCGTGGGGCCCCCCAGGAACAGTCTCCTGCAGGAGTGGCTCTTTCAGAACTCAGTTTCTGGGAGAAGTCACACCCTCAAACTCTGATGAATCAATACCTCCCCCCCCCCACACATACACACACACACACACACACACACACACACACACACACACAAGCCTCTTCCGGTGAAAAACCCAGCTGCGTTTCTCCAGCTTGGAGCTTTTCACAACAGCCAGAGATGTATCTTTACTTGTCTCCATCAGAGAAACCTGGGGGCTGTCCACCTCATCTAGCAAGACCCCCGGAGTAAGGGGCTCATGCAGGGTCCTGGGGTACAGTCCACAGGCCAGTCACAACAGGGAAGGGGGCACTTGCTTGGGCCAGCTCGCTCAGCTGGATCAGAGTGAGACCTACTTACCAGTGGGCCGGTGGCCACTCATGGCCCAGCCAAGTGGGTTCTGAAAGGCCCCTCCTCTGGCTATTCCAGCAGGTGGGACCCTTCCTTCATTGGCAGGTCCATGGGGCACAGGCATGCACATGTGTGCATACATGGGCACATACTCTCTCTTCCCAATGGCGCCATCCCCACAAGGCTCACCCACTGCCACCGAGTGTCCCCTGCTGGCCAGGCAGGAACTGACCTGGCCTCACTTGCACACCTCTGATGATGGGCAGAAGGTCCAAGTGCATTTTGTCTTCATGGAAAGGCAGCCCTGAGGTGCCCAGCTCACGCAGGAGGTTCCAACAAGACTGTATCTGGAAGTTCTTTCCCCTCCTAGATGTCCCTGAGCAAACCGCAGGAGTGAGCGGGAAACACTTTTGCATCGACCTGCATTTTCCCAGCCAGGGCAGCAAATCAGAGTGTGTGTGTGTGTGTGTGTGTGTGTGTGTGTGTGTGTGTCGGGGGGGTCGATAATTCCACAGACTACCTTCCTTCTCCAGTGTGGAGAGGACAACGTGGGCAGAGCACGCGCCTGCTGCATTCCCCAGTTTGCTGCTCAGAGCCAGCGTTGACAGAACAAGGTTTAATACCATGGACAGTGCCTCAGCCCAGCGCTACCAGCTCAAGGAAAACCCACTGACTTCTACACTACTGAGAATGCTTCAGCTCCGGCGGATCTCAGCCACGACTCAAAAGCTCAAGCTAAGCAGTACAGACAGGCAGCGGGGAGTCACCCGAAACCAGCACTTGGGGGGCAGCTCTGCTCATGCCCCCCCATCCCTCCTCCTTCCTTCTCTGGCACCTACAAGGACAGTGAAGCCACAGGACTGCCCCTGCCTCTGCGGGACACGCCCCTTCTGTTCCCCCAGTGAGGACCCAGCAGCTGAGAGCTGTCCAGGGCTGGTCCCCAGGACCTCCTGGTATATGCCCCAACTCTGGACCCCCTAGAGAGGCAGGAAGTAGTCCCAGAGAAGTGGTCGCCCCTCTCCATCACTGCCCAGAAGTGCAAGGCCCAGGAACAAACATTTGATCCTTTCTTCGCATCCACCCCAGGGTTCCACCAACCCACCACCTCCTGATCAGGCTCCTCCTTGGCAGCGCAAGTCTCACACTGATAATTTAAGTCTTGCTCCCGTGAACAAATTCGGCCGCTCATCAATTATTAAATGTAGAAATGTCGATACTTGGGTCCCTCACTGAACAGCCTGGCCGAGTGAGAGGCTTAAGTAGACGGTCCAGCTGCCTTGGGAAGCCCTGTGCTCTATTCCCAGAGGCGTGAGAGCTAATGCAATGTCCAGAGAGGCTGGGGGTCGGGCATGAGGGGGCAAAAGCGCACCCCCTCAGTTGTTGACTTTAGGGGTGTGAAATGGACCCTCGGGGAAGGGGCTGCTGGGGCACACGGGATGTCAGGGTGAGACAAGAAGAGGCAGGAAGCATCCCCTGAGAAGTGGTCACCCTTCTTCCTCAGGTCTGGCTACTCGCAGACAGGCCCGGAGAAGGGTGTCAGAAAGGGAGGGAGGCCTGCTTCCTTTCTGGAAGATATCAAGGCCTGGGAAGATTTAGGCCGCAGGGTCCGTGCCCCGCTCTCCCGGTGTCACCCCAAACCTCTCTCCGTGTTCCCTCTCCTGGCTCCTTCTGCTTTCCGGGGGTGCTCAGACACAGCCACGGCACGGAAGCGTCATGCGTGACTTTCCCGGGGATCCGTACCCCCCCCCCCCCCGCACGCAGGACCAAGTTTCCCCTCCGCCCGCCCGCCTCCCCCATCCATTTCCGAGCCCATGAATCAGGGGTCGCCGTCGTCGGACCCCGCACCCGCGCCCCCACCCCGTGTTCTGCCGGGCCGAGGCTGGTGGAGTTTGGGGCGCAAAAGCCCAGCGGGCTCAGTGCGCGGGGCCTCGGCGAGCTGCGGCGGCCAATGAAGGAAAGTTTTGGTGGACGATGACGTCACTGCCGTCCCCCCAATTTAAAGGAGCACTTAGCGCTCGCCAGAGGCGCTGCCCACCCCCCTCCAGGCGCCGGGGAGACCCGCCGCGGCCTCCGGATCCCGGGCCCCGCGGGTCCGGCTCGACCCGGGTGCAGCGCGCGCGCGAGGAGCCCCCCACAGCCGCGGCCAGGGGTCCCCCAGGCCCCCAGCCCCCAGGCGCGCCCCCTGGGACCCCCCACTCGGCACGTTCCAGTGCGGACCCCCGAGCCGCGCGAGCCCGGACCCAGCGGAGCGCCACCACCGGCCGGGCCGGAACCGGTGGCCCAGGCGCCCGCGGGGTCCGGAGCGGAGCCCGCAATGCAGACGCGCCGGCGAGCCCGAACGGCGCCCCCCGCGTCCCGGCCCCCCGCGTCCCGGCCCCCCGCGCCGCGGCCGGCGCCGTCTCACCTGCCCACGGCCCCGCCGCGCCGCCGCCGCCGCCGCTACCCGGCTGCCATGGTGCCCGCTGCGCGCACCGACCGCCGCGGCCGCCGTCCGCCCCCTCCCCGCCGGCCCGGGGCCGCCCCGCCGCCTCCCGCGCGCGCCCGGCTCCGCCCCGCGCGCCCCCGGCTCCGCCCCGCGCGCGCGCCCGCCCCGCCCCATCGCCGCCGCGCGGCCGCGCGCGCCCCGGCCTGACGTCACCGACCGCCGCCGCGCGCGCGCCCCGCCCCGCCCCGGGAACGCGCGCGCGCCGCCGCGGCCCCCGGGAGCGCGCTGAGCCCCGCACCGTCGCGTGCCCCCTCCCCGCGCATCCTGCTGGCCCAGGCACCCCGAACTTTCTTCCAGCCCCGCTGGGCTGGGGCAAGCGGCTGCTCTAACCCCATCTGTCATGTGTGACCTTGCCCGCTTTTCCATACAACCTTCCCTCTATGCCACCACTTGAGAGGGGTCCCCGCATTCCCCAAGTGGTGCCACGGGGGAGGGTGTGTTAGCGAGTCCTGGCCCCAGGCCTGCGGGTCCCACCCCCCCAACCCCCGACATCTGCAGGAGTCTGTTCACACTCTTGTAGAGAATGTGGCGCAGAGGTCACTCACCGGCTTCTGTTGGTTTCTCAATCTTTATTTCTTCGCTTCTAATTAAGGACTTTTTGCAGTGTTAAACATTACTCAGGTATTTATATTTAAGTTTGGTAGTAGTCGGGCTGGGCACAGCGCGGAGGGCACCGGCTTTGCGTGGGGCCGACCTGGATTCGGTCCCTGGCACCACACAAGGTCCCCAGAGTGCGCCAGGAGTGATCCCTGAGTGCAGAGCCAGGAGCACCGCCAGCTGTGACTCCAAGACTACTACTAATAATAGCACTGTAGCACTGTCCTCCTGTTGTTCATGGATTTGCTCGAGAGGGCACCAGTAACGTCTCCATTGCGAGACTTGTTACTGTTTTTGACATGGGGGGGGGGGGGGGGGAAGATACTCTCCGAAGCTTGCTGGGCTCTCGGAGAGGGACAGAAGAATGGAACCTGGGTCGGCGGCGTGCAAGCAAATGGTCCTACCCACTGTGCTATGGCTGCAGCCCATTAGAGAATGTGGAAAAAATAAGATACCATTTAAATAAAAGTACCTGTAAAGCTCTATGCTTTTTGGTCATTTTCCATATTCAAAAAATATGTATCCGATGACCTTTGAACAAAGTTTTAAATTGCATTGTGTGTATTTTTTGTTTGGGGGCCTCACCCAGCTGTGCTCCAGGCTTCTGGCTCTGTGCTCACCCTTGGTGGCCGCTCAGGGACCCACATGTGGTGCCAGAGGTCACATTCAGCTCTGGTGCAAGGCCGGCACTTTCCCCACTCTACTATTTATATGGCTCACAAATTGTGTTTTAAGTTTAATCTTTCAATCTTTGTAGAATGCCCAAATAATAATATTTGTGTGAACATATATCACGGTGATATTTTCTATCGATTCCAAGTCTTTTATAGACATACAAAAGCTAATCAAATTGACCCAAACCTAAAACATAACTCAAAAATGCAATGATTGTTAAATTAAAGATGTTGAGGTAGTTGAGTTACAAGCAGATATTTGGTAAACATAGCAAGAAAAAAAAAGGAACTTTATTATGAATCTTAATTGTTGGATGACCCCCCCCCCACACACACACAAAAGATCACATGGACGCCCACCTACAAGATGGTCAGACTTCTTCGTCAAGACCCTGAATGATCGGTTTGAGGCTCTGCATGTTCCTAGAACGAACAGATACCATTGGGCTATGCTAGCACGCAACCAGGATGAATGGAGACGTTACTGGCACCTGCTCGAGTAAATCGATGAATAACGGAGATTAAGTGATTAAACCAGGTTTTAAAAGGTTCATAGGGGCTGGAGTGACAGTACAGTGGTTGGTGCTTGCCTTGCACGTGGCCAACCCAGGTTTGATCCTGGCATCCTATATGATCTCCTATTCTCCACCAGGAATAATCCCTGAGTGGAGAGTCAGGATTAAGTCCTGAGCACGGCTGGGTGCAACACCAAACCCCAAAAACAAATCAAAAGAAAAGTTTGCTGTGGAATGATCAATGGGTTTAACAAACCCAAAATATGTCATTCTATATAAACTATGTATATATTAGCAAATTACTTTTAAGATTTTCTTTTGTGTTCTTTTAGTTAAAGATAGCAAAAACAGGGGCTGGAGCAATAGCACAGCGGGTGGGGTGTTTGCCTTGCACGTGACCGACCCAGGTTCGATTCCCAGCATCCCATATGGTCCTCTGAGCACCGCCAGGGGTAATTCCTGAGCGCAGAGCCAGGAGTAACCCCTGTGAATCGCCGGGTGTGACCCAAAAAGGGAAAAAAAGATAGCAAAAACAATGGTAGGGCGTTTGCCTTGCACGCAGCCAACATGGCCGACCCGAGTTTGATTCCTCCGCCCCTCTCGGAGAGCCCGGCAAGTTACCGAGAGTATCTCGCCGCACAGCAGAGCCTGGCAAGCTCCCCGTGACGTATTCGATATGCCAAACACAGTAACACAGTGTATTATAATAATAATAATAATAATAAAATAATAATAAAATTTAAAAAAGGAAATTAAAGTTTGGTAGTTGATTTTGCTTCTAAATAGCTCTTAAAAATGCGGAACCCCATGATCTTTAAACATTTGTTAGGATGCGTGTAACCACATCAAGCGCAGGTAAGACACATTCTAGAACATTCCAGTACCAATTCCTTCCATGTGGCATTGCGGTGAGTACACCACAAGCAGGGCTTTGCATTTTCTGTTTGTTTATTTTTTGACTGTTCCACACTGGGAACAATGCAAGCGATGGTGGACTTGATTCTAGCTCCATCATGCAGTTGAGATTTAGCGGTTGGGTTATGAAGATCCTTTTCCTGTTGGGTCAATAGGTCACCCATGGAAGGATGTCTGAGTGGTTTCCCGTCTTTCACAATTGCAAATACATTTATTCTTCTATCAACTGGTGCATTTGAGATGTTCTCAGATGGGTTGGGTAGAGAATCATTGTACGTCTATTGATAAACTTGCTTAGCTTTACTGGAACCCAGCAGAACAAGGTCTATCCATTTTCATGAATTTGAAACCCATTCGGCATCTTCACCAGCTCTTAACATGTGCAACACTGATAAGTAAATTCATATTTAGGACTGTAGAGACAGTGCAGAAGGGAAAGATCATTCCAAGCACCACCAGGAATGATCCCTATGCACTGCCAAGTGTGGCCCAACCCACCTCCAAAGAAATACATAAATACTTCTAAAATGCACTTAATATATTTAAAATTCTAAATTGCAATGCATGATATGCTCATGGCTGGAGTGATAGCACAGTGGTAGGGCGTTTGCCTTGTGTGCAGCCAGCCCGGCAGAGCCGGGTTCGATTCCTCCACCCCTCTCGGAGAGACCAGCAAGCTATCAAGAGTACCTTGCCTGCGTGGCAAATCCTGGCAAGCTACCCATGAGGTATTCAATATGCCAAACACAGTAACAACAAGTCTCAAAATGGAGACGTTACTGGGCCCGCTCGAGCAAATCGATGAACAAAGGGAAAACAGTGATAGTGACAGTGATATGCTCATAGATATGTTTAATAGATACATGTAGTATATTTAATAGGTTCTCATATTTACATTAAACTCTATTTGTTTAAACACATGTGGAAATATATATTTATATATTATATATAATTATATGTCACAAACATAAAATACATATTTTAAGATTCTCATAAGCAGCTTATTGGTTTTTAAGTTTTCAATTCCCTAATGAAAAATCATGTTGAACATCATTTTATTTTCTCTCTGTACCTTCTTTGGTGAAGTATCTGTCCACAGCTTGGCCCATTTTCAATTTTATTTTATTGTTTTTGGTTTTTGGGTCACACCTGATGGTTGCTCAAGGCCTACTCCTGGCTCTGCACTCAGGGATCACTCCTGGTAGTGCTCTAGGGACCAATTAGGGTGCTGGGCATTGAACCCGGATGGAGTGTGCAAGGCAAACACCCTACCAATTGTATCATCACTCTAGCCCCAATTGGCCTACTTTCAAAGTAGATTTTGGTTTCTACAATTTTAAGAGTTCTTTGAATATACTGTGCAAATGCATTTGATAGAATGGTTTGCAAATATTTTCTGCCAATGTGAGTTTGTATTTCCATTCTTTTCATGCCGTGAAGTTTGTTTTTCAATAAAGGCTCATTTAGCACTTGTTTTCTTTCATTATTAAGGGCTCTTGCGTTGAAGAGCCTAAATTTAAATCTAAATCACACTCCAACTCAAGGTCATACAGATTTAAGTCTATATTTTATTCTAGAATTCCCATAGACTTAGTTTTTTTCTAAGATCCATTGTTACTTAATTTTTCTCAACACTTAAGATTTTTCTGCATTTGTTTTTCTTCCCCTCATGTTCAGTTGCTCCTGCACTGTTTGCTAAAGAGGATGGTCTTTTCCTCACAGAATTGCTTTAGCTCCTTTGTTGAAGGTCATTTAACTACCATTGAGGATTTATTTCTGGACTCCGAGTTGTGGCATTAATCTGGGTGTTTATGTTTGGATGAATCTATAGTAAGACCTGAAGTTGATTAGTATTACTCTTCTGCTGGTTTTATATTGATTATTGTAGGTATTTTCATATGAAGTTTAGACTCAATCTGTAGGCATCTACAAAATAACTCAGTTTTTGATTGACTTTTCTGAATCAAGTTTGTAAGAATTGACAATGATATTGATTGCCTTTATCCATAAGTAGGAGACATCTGTCCATTTATGTTGCTCTTTGATTTTTCAGCAATGTTTTATAATCTTTTTGCATTAAAATACTGTACATATGTCAAAATTCCTCTCAGTTTGTTTTTTAAATCAAGAATGGGTGTTGAGTTTTGTCAGATGCTTTTTTTGTGCATGCCCATTAATATGATCATGTAAATTTTTTTCTTCTTTAGCCTGCGGATGGCATGGATCACTTGTTGATTTTCAAAAGAGAAGTCAGTCTTGCATAACTGGACTTCTCCCACTTGATCATATTCCACATACAAATCCTTTATCTTATATATGATTCACAAATAGTTCTTTCTATTCTGTAGCTTGTCTAA